AACAGCTCCACGTGGTCTTGTAGCATCTCCCTGGAAATCCGTCAAGGAAAAGAGATTCAAGCTTAGGAGCCTGGTGCCATGTGAACAATGATTCTGTCCACACGCTGTGTATTTTGGGATGAGTGAACTCTGGCATCACAGAGCTATTTTTGGAGAAACAATATAGGCAGATGTTAATACATAATTTAAAATGCTGCATTAGGAACATGCAGCCCAGGACACAACACAGTGCATGAAAAGTTGTGCAGAGGAGACATAGAGGAGTCCCCAGGCTGCAACGCAGACATCCCCCACCCCATTTGCCTTGCTTACCCCACAGCTACTGAACTCCACAGAGGCTAACCAGAGGATGAAGGTGGGGCAGTCCATCTAAGCAGCTAGCCTTGCGTCTACAAGTCACAAAAATTTAGTAGTCTAAAAGCTAAATATCTGCTCTCTAATACTCACCGAGCTACAGTCACTGGAGAGATGCAGCCATGCCCAAGTGTGAGCATTCAGACACTGGGTTCTAAGTCAGCTGGGATGAATCATGTCCCCAAGGAGCTATCACTCTCCATGGACCACAGCTGGAGCGGGATCATTAGTTGAGATCAGCTGTCTAGTCCTGAAGTCAGAACGAACTCTTACCGGGGCCGTGCAGACTGCAAGAAGAGAAGCCAAGGTACAGTCAATCAGAAAATATAAGTTGACTGCTGGAGCTGTGCTGCAATGCAGCAAGCAGGCGCAGAGTTAGCAGCCATGGACAACAGATGCGGGACAAAAGTGTAATTAAGCTGCTGGCGCTGAAGTGTTGCAGGTGTAAATAAGTGTTAGAGCAGCTTAAACAATAACATTCACTTAAAATGTGAGGTGAACAGCCAAACACAATGCAAGGAAGTTTGGGGAAAAAACAAAGGGAAGGGGCTGTAACATGATGGGCCTTTTGATGGAGCTGCTTTGCCAGGGCGATGAAGTCATCCTGGTGATAACATCGAAGAAGGGTAACATCACCCTACTTTTGCCTTCCTAAAGAGCTGAAAAGAGTGTGAATTTGAAAAAAGTCATCAAATGTGTGTTTTCTGCCAGATAGAAACTGCTACTGATTCTGTAAAGGGATTTCCCACTGCCTACAGCTGGCCTCCAGTAATTTCTCATGGACCTCAGCACATGAAAGCATGCATGATGTAAACATCTCCAGCCGAGCTCCTCAGGATGGGCTTCTTCAGTGTTGGTGGGGAGAGGCAGGGATTTCCAGGGGGACGGTTACCTTGCCCTGCAGCAGACACCTGGAACGGGTCAGGCGAAACACGCTGTGGAAGTCCCGATCTCCCCGCAGGGAGCAGGAGGGGAGCTCAGGGTGCCAGAGACAGAGGTTTACCATGCAAACATCTAAAATTAGATGAGAGGTGTCCTGTCCCTGTTGTCTGGCAGAGAGGTAAATGTCTGGAATTGGGACTCCACAGACTGACTGGCCAACGTGGGATGTGGGAATCGCATCAGCCAGTTTTTGCCAGCTAAAAGCAAGGACCTTATCTGGAAGTGTTGCCTACACACCTCCTGCAATCAACAGAGGAAGACAAGGGGAAAATTCCTTCTGACTAAACACACACACCCCAAGTCCCACTTCCAAGTCAGTGTCCCAAGGTAGCTCAGCCAGGATCCAAGCATTAGGCAAGACTTCATTCCTGTATGCCACTACAGATATTCTTGGAGCTCAATGTACCTGCTGCTTCCTCTTCAAGCTTGAGTGGGAGGGAGCCCACCGACCTGTTTCATGATAGTACAGTTCTCAGAAAGCACTCACCCGGGAACACAAGAAGCCAGGTTTGCTCTTCCCCCTGCTCTTTACTTCAGACTGAAATCCACATCTTCCACCCCAAAGCATCATGGTGCTCACACACAATTATCCGTAGGCATTTCTGGAAGGCATCTGCACGGCCATGTTCCACTGTGCAAAATTCGCTGGCCAGATGTAAACAGCGAGCGCAGCTAGATCTAAATCTAGCTAAATCTAGATCTAAACCTAGTCTAAATTTTAGTTACTGCATTAAGATCTATGTCAGCACTGAATCACAGGCGGAGCGGTGCAAAGCCAAGTCTCCCAGTTTCTTCTCCGAGGTTCCTGACCATGGCATTACAGAATCATTCTTCTAAACACAGCAGAAACACACAAATCCCTGTCTTCATTTTTTCCATTCGTATGTTAAGACTCTTCCAAATCAAGGGAGAGACAACTTTGCACCCGCTCAGCTGAAGGAGGGCACTGGACACCAGTTGCCAGCTACGGGCCAAATGATCTAACCACTAGCGATGGATGGCAGGGAAGGTAGAGACAACCCTACCTCCTCCACTGCTCCCTGCTCAGTGGCGTGCTCAGCATGCAGGTTCTTCCCAGTTGCTTCTCTGAGGTCCCTGTCACCCACATGCCACGTAGGGAAGCCCACGTGTGGCCATGGAGTCGCTCTGGTGGCTCTTGGAGCCCTGAGCTGCTCAGGGTGCCGATTCACAGCTGCCATGGGAAGGACCGCAGCGCGCCTCTCCCCCAGGCTGCTGCCTGGTACCGAATGTGTGACAGAGCACTTTCAGACACCTCCTCCTTCTCACAGGGCACTGTAATATCAGAGGGTTGTTACCAGCAGGAAGAAGGTACGAAGGGAAGGATGTGGGATGATGAGCAAATCCTCCCAAGATGCCTGGCTTTGACAGGATGTGGAGCAGCCCAGGAGGCTGGCGGGTGGGATGAGGAATGAAGGAGCCCAGCTCACTCCTTTAGTCAGTGACGTAATTGTTAATGACGGCTTTGCATGTGCGAAACTCCTTGCTTCCTAAATAATCACAGAGATCTTACCTCCTGGGAGAGCTGTGGTAGCACGCCAACACCAGCAGGATCCAGCCTCAGCAACGTCTTGCAGGGTCCTCCTACGTGAACGTACCTGCACAAGACAATAACAGTACAGTAGATATTTCTGGTTCCTGCACTCGTGTGCAGGAAATGGTTTACGCTCGTTTGCCCCTGGTCCCTCAAGAAGATCTATTGCCACTTCACCTGAACTCCCTGGCTGCTCCCAGCATATCACATCTGGAGCAGCCACTGAAATGTAACAGCAAAAGGTAGAATTATGCTTGTGTGAGCTCCCGCTTCACATTCCCAATGGAAGGATGATGCCCAAATATCTCTTCTGTTCCACAAATGAGCAGAGCGAGCTGTTAAGCAGGTTGAATGACTGTAAGCAAAACAAGTACTCCCTCAACATGTTCAGCAACTTCAGGAAGGACATGTAGGGTGCATGGGATAGCCCTAAACACCCAAAGAAGGGGCAGCAGTAAAAAAAAAGATTACCAGAGGAGTCTGGGAAGAATCATGAGATTATTAATATGCCACTGCCCCATCGCAGTGTAGGAGGCCAGGCAGCCCACGGCACCAGTGGGTGACACTCCCTTCGCAGGCAGGGAAGAAGGGTGGATGCTTCACACGCAATGGCCTAAGCAGCAGGGCCTACCACTTGCTCATGCTGAGCCTCAGGGTCTTTCCTATGTCCTTGCCAAGTTTCCCAGGCTCCCATGTAAGCTTCTGCCCTCTCCTTGACTTCTCAGACCTTCAGGAAAAGACAGACGGCGCCAAGGGCCAGGCTGTGAAGATGTAATATGCCCAAAAGATGGAGATACAGCTCCCTAACGCATGCTGCAGAGTGGTACCATCACCCAGACTGCAACAAGAGGTGCTAATCTAGCCCTGGGACACCAAAGGGCCACTCAAGCCTGATGCAGTGCTGTTCAGCAGAAAGAACGGGGCACAGGTTTATCTCAGTCTCTTGTAGAAAGAGAAAAAAATCTTGATTAGGTTATTACACAAGAAGACAACAGAGATCAAAGCGGGGCAAATGCGAAGAGGCAGATGGGGAGGGCAGGAGCCTATGCAGGGTGGCATCTACTAAGAAATTAGCTGCTGCCAACATCATCCAAAAAAAAGCCCCAAGGCCAACACCACAATCAAACATTGCACTGGGGCCTGAGAAGCTGGAGAATGCCACGACAGATGACCGCTCCCTCTGTGGCACAACTCTATTAGCAGGGGAGTTAGAAAGATGGTAATTTCTAAGTATTAATGTAAACATTTATGACTCCCAACACTGGCATTTTCATCTTCCTGGAAGAAAGTACACTCAGCGCAGCTTTGGGGCTCAAGACGGGTGATGGATTGTTCAGCATACTTGTAGATGGGATCAGCAAACTTCTCCGAATGCTCAAGCGGTACTTCAGCACATCTCTGGCATGCAGACCACCTTCGCTACACGCTCAGGGTTAAACTGGTCCCACAGAAACGCTACCAGTAGACTGCACCAGGTCCACGTTGATCTGAGTTTCTGAAGGAAGACTTCCTCTGCAGGGTTTTGGAAGTAGGGAAGTGTGGAAAAATATGAGAGTGGGTCACAGGGTATGGTACAGCTCCCACTGCTCCTCAAAGCGGTGTCGTACAGTGGCACAACATCACAGAGACCGGGCTTGCAGAACCAGCCACCATCCCCTCCCAGCTGATCCTTACCCTCCCACAGCTTTGCCATTCTTCACCTACTCTACATTCATCTCATTTAAAACTGTTGGAAAAATTTGTTCTTACTCAGTCTCCAGCTTCATCTGACCTTCCTTGCCAAGCCAAAGGCAAGGGTCAGTGGGCCAGGTCAGCAGTTAAGTCCAACTGCTATGTCAGGAGCAGCAATCCCGACCCGAGGGCTTGGGGTGGCAGAAGCATGACTAAAAACTTCACTTTGTGGAAGGTGAGGATAGGAGTCTGAAATCTGGGAAGTGGTAACTGCACCTGGACAGGGCTTAGGCACCGGGACAGCATGGGAAATGTGGAGGTCACCAAGGATGCCTCTGCTCTTAGCACTTCGGCTGTTTAAAGAAGCAGGAGAAAACCATTAGATACCAATACCAAAAGGTGGTGTGAACACAGAAGCAGTACTGGGCAGAGGAATCACTTTTAGCGGCTAATCATCACTGCTGCAACGCTCGCACGGTGCAGATTTTGCTACCAGAAATGCATTCTGTCTCAAGGACTCTTGAATTCTGGTTGTAAAGATGTCTTGTACACAAGATGTTAGCAAGGGCACATTTCTAGCCTATTGGCGTGCACCTCTTGAGTAAGAGGGAGGACACTCCACACCCAAACCCTGTCTCCAGGTAACTGATGGCTGGGAAGCAAAGTCTCCTCTTGTCCCCTGTAGCCACCAGTGGAATCTTCCTCTCTATTTTAATTCATGGACACTTTCTGCCTTACTCTCTTAGCAGGCCCCACACGTGCCTGTCCAAAACACACCCTGCCTGCTGGCTCAGCTCTGTACCAGCAGGGTGGCTGAAGGCATTTTATGGAACAAGCAGCGCACCACGATTATAGGTCTTATTCTCACATTAATAAAGAGTGCAAAAGCAGATGCCAATGACCACAATCTGGCACCACGATTTCTGGAGCCTCCTGCCCAGGAACATGGGAAAGGGTTCAATTTTGACCACGTGGCTGTCCCAGACTCGGAGTACGAAAGGCATGGCCATCTCCAGACTAGCAGTCCCACAAACTCACTGGCTTCTCAGCATCAGCCCCACAGACACCACATGACGCCTGGCCTGCGCACAGCAGCAGGTCGGATGGCCATGTACTCCCAGCCCTGTGTTCCCATGGCATGGATAACGTGAGTCCAGGTTTTAAGTTACATGGCAGGAAAGGGGTTAAAGTTTAAATGACTGTTTTGTATATGAATTAATATATGTAGCGTTGAGCCAAAATATCTACCATTAATTTTTCCACCTATTTCAGGAGCAGTAAGATACACAAAGTAAAGTTTATTTTGGTACTTGGTATACTTCACTCTCATTAAAAATAAATTAATCAGCAAATTCCTACACAGCTCAGCCTTCTTTTATGTAAATACAACCCAGCTGTAATGAATTACAAGGTGTTATTATCTCACACACACTGTATAATACTTCACACATAAGAGGTTTCTCTGCTTAGCTCAGCTTTCAACAAAAGCATCTTAAATAAACTGCAAGCAAGTTGTTTGGTCTGTAATGTTTTCACAGAGAAGGGATACACCTCACACATAGAGGGTTTCTTTACATGACTCATTTTATAACAAGTTAAACTGAGGAAGTTCGCCTTGGAAAAAAAAATAACAAAATGCCTTTTTTATACACAGAAGGCTCCCTAAGAGAAGATTAAAAAAAAAAAAATGCAAGCCAGTGTTTGGGAGCCTTCATTCTGCATCCCACTGCTCTGTACATGCCGGAGGGACATCAAGTATGCACCACAACACGGTACAGAGAAAGCAGCTTCAGCAAATCATAGCCAGGCACTGGCACACTTTCACCAGATTAAGGATTTGCAAATTAGGGATTAATTGTACAAATTAAGGATTATCACCTTTGTCTTTTGTTTAATCGTTTTATTAGGAGTCAAGTCCTGATGTTATAAAGCTTATTCTTATCAAAAGCACATGTGGCACAGAAAACACACACCCATTGATTTTACCCAGAATGACATTTATTACTGATTAGGATTTTAGACAGGAGAGAAATGAAAGCTATTTCTGTCACTGACCTGGAAATAGCCCAGTGAAGCATCCACCTGCACGGTACACCTCACCTCTGCTGATCTCATCAGCGGAGCTCTCACCCCACTAATTACCATGTTGGCGTAATTTGCCTGTGCAGCCATATACAGTTTTCACTGGGGTTGACAGGTCTTGTTAAAAAGCCATAGACCACTGCTTTAGGGGACAGAGGACAGCATGGTCCTGTCCCATTAAGAGCCACAGACAGAAATGGGGATGCTCTTTTCATAAAGAAATTCTTAGACCACAACGCTAAAAAGAATATGGAAATATCAGCAAGGCAGACCGAAATACCAGGTACTCTGAGGCGGCTTTTAGTGACAGCCCAGCCACGTTTTGGACTTTATTCTCATTAAGATGGCTGGAGTCGTAGAGGATTACTGGGGACTATGCATTATTCTTTGCATCCTCCTATCCCTGTGCAACAGAGCAGAGAGTTCCTAAAAAGGATTTTCACAGAAAACCCTTCTGAATCTGCTAAAGCAATTCTTAACTCCACTAAAAAAAAAAAATTGGACCATTCAGTCTTGGTACCAGGCTTTTAAAATACATTAACATCTAATATGCAAAGCTCATACTTGCATTCACAGCACACAGGGAGCAGAGGAACACCATTGTGTCTATTTGTAGCAGCTCTCCAAACAAGGCAAGGAACAGCAATGTCTTCTTGAGATAACTCTTAAGTGACAGTAAAATACCTGGTTTCCCAAAGACAGACAGCAGGTCTTCCACTTGTCAGCAAGGACCACTCAGTGCCATAAAAAGGACAGAGGTTCTCAAACCAACTAGCATTTATTTGTGGGGGAATATTCAGAAGAGTACAGCTGTCCAATTTGCTACTGAGTCACCACAGACAGGACATCTAATTAAATATTTTCTTTTCAACAGCAGATTTTCCTTCCTGACCCCACAGACTCAGCCCAGTTCAATTTCACGCTTCCCAAGCCCATCTGACAAATCGATAAAATGTCAGCCGCCGGTGCTCTCAGAGTCCTTCGTCGTTGTAAACAGGGGAAAGGGGCTTGAGGATGCTGTGGGCGTTGCTCTCCACGAGCGGCCGCCAGCTCACCTCGCCTGTCAGCAGCAGGTCCTCCCCACTCAGTGCATCCAGGTGCTGCACCTGCAAGGACAGGGCGTTAGTGCAAGGTGTCCCATCACCCATTCAAGTTTCTCAAGAGCTATGCAAGCATGTTGCTCTCCAGAAAGCAAGTACAACAGGGAGATTTTAGCATACTTTGCCATTTGTGTGAGGCAGACCTAAAAAGATAATTTATGACCGCTTAAGCAACATGGAAAGGCTGGGAGATAAGTATCTGCAGATCCATGGGAGTTCACTGCGTAAGGTCTTCTACTCGCACCTTAGCTAAGGCTTCCTCTGAAAGTTTGGCAATGGGACAAAGAGCCACGCAAAGCTGACGTAACATGAGTCATTTTATCTTCCCGGCAGTTCATTCAGATGACACACTGCTCTCATAAAAGTGGTTTCGCATACACCAAGGCTTTTCACCACAGAAAAAAGGCCTGGCCAGCAGGGAAGACTTGGGATTTATAAAATAAAAGCACATGAGCTGGAGGAGGTGAACGTGTAATGAACATTCATTCTCACAACACAAGAAATACTTGGGATCAAATGAAATTTTAAGATGCAATGTAAGCAAAATAAAAAGAAACTCTTGTCACACAACGTACAGCCACAGGACACTGTAAACAAGGGGGTGAGTGGGTAGAGGGAAGACCAAAGTCCATCAAGGGCCAGTAAAAGACAGAAACACCAGCGCTGGCTCAGGAAGTCTGTGAATGCAGATTGCTAAGAGAGTTGGCCAGGGAAATAGTACATGTGCTTGCCCTGTTACTATGTTCTTCTCTGGCATCCACTAATAGCCACTGTTAAAGACAGGATCAGCAAGAAACTGTGGGAAAGACCTCGTACATGATGCTTACTGGAAACAATAGATAATTTGACAAGGAGGAAAGAATACACCAATGGCCACAGAGGGTCAGAGCAAAGAGCCACCTAAGCACCATATCCTGACAGTCATCAACAGCAGATTCCCCAGGAGGAGTTAAATACAATGCATGCATACAATGTCATTTTCCTTCTTTATTTTTCCCTCCCTCTTAAAATTTGTTAGTTTGGGGACTTTGAGCCTGAAGTGGTTGTTGTGGATGTAACAGCCCTCGACAGAATTCTCTCCCAGAAACCTTGCCAGTGGCTTTGCAACCCACATGCAATTGTAGCATCCCAAACAACCTGTGGCAATGTTACAACCCCATGCTCTTGTATCAGCAAACAGCCTTTCCTTGCCCACTTTTCATATGCCTTCAAGATTTCCGACAGCTGTCCTGTATTCTTTCTCAGCTGGTTTTTCAGGCAGGGGATCCTACTCATTGCTTAATAAGGAGCTGTTTCATGTCGTCCTTACCACTCTTCTCTGAGCCTTCTCCAGTTCGGTTTTTAATCTTTCTTGATGGTCAGAACCCAAACCGTACACATTATTCAAGATCACGAGGGTACCATGGATTTAAAAAGTGGCATGACAACACTATTTTGTTCTCTATTCCTTCCTTAGTAGTTCTGTAGTGGTGCTTTCCCCCGCCCCCGGCCTTTTTCTCCGGGACCGCTTTACGATCTCAGGAATTCCCACCAGACCTTGGCCTTGGTGTAATGAGTTGAATGGTTAAGTACTCCTTAACCATAACCAGTAACTCCTACATGCTGCAGTGGAGAGCAGCACTGTCCATACTAGAAACACTGGTTAACTGGTCAAAGCAGGGAGAGAGAACAGGAACAATCAGTTACCCCTGACAGCCTTGGAATGCACCTTGCCTGGGTGATAACCCGAGTGAAGCAGTACCACTGTTACTGGAATTCCAGTAATCACTGACCCAGACTGTGGACGGGATGGAAATTTACTGATGACTAAATCCAATCATCTCATGACCCTATAAACAGCAGCTCCTAAGCGAGGCCCTTTGAGATCTCCTGGACCACAGCAGGCTGTGACCAGTGTCTCCCTCAGAGTGGGACGCCTCTCAGAGCTCGCAAACGAGCTTCAAGTCTGCAAAAATCAAAGGTCTATCGCCCAAGACTGATAGTGGAGCCTGGGCTGAAACCCTTCATTCCTTGAGGCTCAACCCTTGCCCGTTTTGAAATGCTGAGACATTTGACATGAATATTTCACTGAACTCGAGGGGAATTTTTAACAGATACACCTTTATACATATAAAAATATATAATCATGTCTGTGTGTATGCATGTGTAAATCTGTAAATGTGTGATGTAATTACAAAGTGAGTCTGTCGTGATTATAGTTGACTCACTCTGTGAACGTTAGCCAGCGATTAAGTGCTGCTAAAGATCTTGTGGTCCACCTTAAACTGTGAATAAACCTTAGACTGCTGCTAGACACCTATTATCTTTAGACATAAACCGTTGACCAAGTCTGAGACTAAGATTGGACCTAGCTGCACCCAGTTTCCTCTCTGAGAAGGAATTTAGAAAGCAAGGAGGTCTACGCTGAACCTCGTGACTCAGTGGGAGGGTCCTCATCACCTCCTGCATCCAGTCTCTCTGTCGAGTATAAGTTAATTTCCCTTTGTGTGCTTCTTCCATGCAGGAACAGAATGAACCTTGCCATTTTCAAATCTTTAACTAAGTCGCTGTTTTGATCAAACCAAATTTTGTCAAACCACTTTGTTAACTGACTGATGACTGAGGGCTATTAAAATATCACAATCCAATCCTGTGATTTGCCATAAAGACACAAATAAATTCTCAACTGCTACTGAATCAAATTGTGCAAAGCCATTCATCTGCAACAAATTGGCAAAGTCGGTGGGATTCACAGATTCATTCACGACAAGTTCTGAGCATTTGTTCTACTTGTTTTCAATGCTACAGAGTGCTGAGCTGACATTTTGATAATATAATCTCAAGGGCCCATTCCTGTGCGGTAACACTCAGTTTAGAGCTCATCAATGTATCTGTAAAGGTGGGACTGTTTTTCTCAACCACAGCATTTCTGAGTTGTCTGCAGGAATGAGCTGCCTTCACAGAAGCTGTGCTGATTCTTCCCCAATGTGCCACGTTTATCTGTGTGATCACTGTTTCCTATTCAACTGCTGAGAGCTTCTGTTCTATCCTTTGCTTGAATATACACAAGTGCAACAAATTCCCCACTTGGCAGCAAATTGTCCCAAAGTACATCCTTTTTTAATGCATTTGCTCCCTGCCAATCTTCAGTTTTAAACTTCCCTAGAGCCTCACTGATGCTAAGTGTCAGCAACCTTAAATCCTCAGTCCCTTACAAAGTTCAGCCCTTTACTTCCTGTACTATTTTCTCAGACACACACTGAAATACTGTCTCTCCAAATCCCTATCTGGTCCTGAATACAGTATTGGAAACTTTACAGAGAATGCTGTTTTGGAGGTTCTGGTCTTCAAGTCCTTGCCCAACAGCCTACACTTCTCCTCCAGAACCCCTCTCACCCCTTTTCTGTCTTTGGTACCCACCTGGACTATATCCTACCAACATTTCATAGAAATCTGGTTCGCAAACCTCCGAAGGGTTGAGACAAACACTACTTAATATTGTTTCCTCCAGGTAATAACTGAAAGAAACAGAAATAATTCTGGAAAACAAAACCTTTTACTTCTTTTCCACAAATATGATTAGGAGACTTTCAAGTTCTGTGTGCTATTTCATTATGAAGAGGACCCCAAGTCCACAATATCAATTACAATTCTACAACAAGTTGCAGCCCATTTCTGCCACGTTTTGTCAAGCCCCTCAACAGCATAGGTCCAGGAAAAGATGAGCAGGATTGCTTTCAACATTCCATGAACTTCTCTGCAGCCATTTTTCCATCAAACTGCAATAAATATCAGCCAGTTTTTATATTTTTACCTTTTTCTCCTTAAAAATAATCACTGAATATAAAACCCAGTTATATTTATGAGAACCAAGCTACATAGTACGCAAGCAATAAAACTAAATATTTAACATTCCAAACAAGAGAACAAAGAGCAGCCGTGCTACGAGCATACCTGTTTGCGCACATATTCTACAAGTAACTCCAGATGCCGAGGGTCCTCACAGTTCCTGTTAAAAAGGTTTCTCCAAAGAGCTGCTGCCAGAACGTGGTCATCAGACAAGATTCCCTAAAGGAAGTACAGAGGGGGATTAAAAACTGCACGTGAAGAGGGTCTGAACACAAGACAACCACATTACTTGGCCACTGACAATATTAGCAGTCTCAAAAGCCCACAGCTGCTAATGACTGTGCAGATGAAAAGGCTGCCATCAACATCCCTCTTCCCCAGAATGAAAAAACATCCCTAGCCTTAGATTAATTTACAGAGCAGCAGCCTGTAACAAGTATTCTGGCAAGTTAATCTGGAAAAAAAAAAGCTCCTTAACGTAGGAGCCAATAATTGCATTTCTATGTTACAAAAACTTTACCATAAAAAATTTGGCCTTACAGAGAAGACAGCACCACCTCACGGAATTATGTGAAGGAAAAGAAAAATGAAAGGATATTTAATACAATGTTGCAAAAATGTCATCAGGACTTCGCTATTTTGCTTTGCTTTTCTATTTTTTCATTCTAAATGAGAAAGAGAGAACTCCTCCCCATCAAGAACTACCTACATTTTTCCAGTTAAATCTCATATTAAACTTGGCTTATACAAGAATCACATCCATGAGCGCTTTTTGTCTAAATTCTCTCGCACTTTTATTGTCTTTTTAGATGATGTGGTATTATCACCATAGTCTCATAACTCCTGTGTTCTGTGGACACATTTGCCAAAGGCAAGAGAGGACTTTAAAATACTCAGTTAAAACCAAAAAAGACAGACACAGGCAGGCACATCCTGGCTATACTTAAATCTCGGTTAAAGACTTGCATGCCTAACACTGTCCACAACTCTATGAAGCTTACATTTACAAGAGACTAATAATGCAGATTACTGCACAAAAAATAGTATCACCATATGAATAAGAGCAGCATCTGAAGAGCAACACCCACTAGAGCGAAAAAATAATTACTAAAAGAGTTGATGTAATTGTATTTTCTTCTTGAAAGTCCTGCAGACACTTGTGCACAGTGGCGCTTTTGCCTCCTCATATTATTAGGTATGTACCTCCTATAAATACCCTCTCACGTGGACTCCTTATAAAATGCTCTCTTTGCTGTCAAAGTACAGCTGAGTACAATGGGATTCGGAGGGAGGAAATGATTTATTGATGGTCAAGCAGTGACGGTGAAACAGTGCAAAAACCATCCCTCCTTCCACATCCCATGGCTTCAATCTATATGCTGTGTGCTTTCTTTTTCCTTAAAAGCAGTTTAATTCAAGGCATAAGATGACCGCGATATCTAAGAATGCTTCCATATGCTATGCTTCCATAATGTAACATTTCTCCAAAGATATGTACAGCAAATGTTTTACCCCTCTGGAGCATTCTGTGTTCATGAATTAGATGGTCTGTTTGTTCTTGCACATTCTCTAAAACCATCCTTCTTACCTCATCATATCCAAAGAGAGCTGCATAGAAATTTTCTACCATACTTCTCAAATCTTCCTTTAGAACAACAGAATTAATCTGAAAAAGAAAACGAATACCATCTGTATAGGCTCTAAAGAGGAGGTGATAAGAAAATATTATCAGTTGTACTCTGAGTAGGCAAAGCAGAAATAGTGCCTTGGCCCATGTAGGTTAGGATTTGCCTGTATCAATGTTAGGGCAGTTTTAGAACAGCGTGCAACACAGCTCCGTTAATTCTGTACACAGATGCGAGCCAGCGTTACTCAGAATCTGCAAATGGCAGAAAAATCCTCAGCCAACGGCGCTGACATGCAGCTACACAAGCAGAGAAAAAACACACAACCGGGGCAAGGCTGTCCTTTCAGTGGCAGCACAGGCTAAGATAAGGAAGACTCCTCTGTATTTTAACTATTAAGCAGGTTCTCCAGACCTCGATTCATTCGTGCAGGTCTTTTAGAAACTCAGAGGTTTTTCATCTTTTTTTTCTGAAGCGTGGACTCCAGAGCCGGATGTGCTATTACAGTGAAAGTACCATAACACTACAGATAAAGGCACCGTCCCTACCACTACTCCTAACTTACTTGACAATACTGACTTTCTCATTCAGGAATCACATGAATTCTGTTTCTACAGCATCTCGCTAGAGGCTCAGACTTGAACTTTTACTACTTGAACTTTTAACTAGATTTAACAGTTGCTTAAGTATTTGCTCTTTTGGCCTCAGCCACCCATGGGCTTGCAGAACTGACCCCGTGTGAGCTTAAGACGGAACCAAAAGAGATCAACCGCAAGGTCCAGAGCAATGGCCAAAACACCTCACGTGCATCTCCCTCATACAAACTGTCTATTCCTTTTGCCTGTACTTTTTACTTCTATCAACATAATGATTTAATACAGTTCCTCTCCTGGCGGCTAAGCTCCACTTCAACTGGTAAAGCCGCGTCTTTAGACCTTAGATCTCTAAGTCTTTAGTCTTAGATCTCTCATGAGAGATCTAAGAGATACCAGGCATTTCTTTTCTACAGATCTCGCGTATAACCCAAGTGTAAATGACAAGGATAATTACCTTCATACCTGTGTACTGGCAGAACACCTATGTATGAGGCTGCATCTTGGAGACAGGTTTTACAAAATAGAAACTGCAAGCAGGCATACAGGGTAGGCTGCCAGCACTACCACAGAATGAGCATGGTTGACTTTGATGTACAGCTTATCACAAGGCTGAAGAAAAGCTGTGAAAACTCACATATCTGAAATCTCAGAACTTATGACAGCATGAACCACAGGTCCTAAATACTATCTTAGCGTCTTTAAGGGTACCCACCTTGGTACCTATGCTGCAGCTTTTCTATCAAAATAGGAATTGGGTTTTGTCACGCTAGCAAATCTCCAGTCCAAACATTCTTCCATTAAACCACTATCTTTTTTTCATCTGTTGATTTTTGTAGAAGCACATACAGTGCAAACCCAAGGAAAATTCCTTTTATGTCAGTTACTCATATTTTTCCATTAATATAAACTATTAAAATTCATGCAGATATTTTATAGGCTATCAAGATTTGGAGACTGGTTATTACTGAATGTTTAAAAAAAGAACTAAACATAAGAAATCAGAGGGTTAAATGATGACTGCAACTTCTGTAATGACTTAATTAAATTTTTATTGAGTACATAAACTATGATGTCATTTCTACCCAACCATGCTCGAACTTTCTATGCATGTCAGAGATCGTGGTTTTTCTCAATAGAACATACTTCTAAATAAGCTGCACTTCTACAGCTCTAATAAGGGGGAGCAGGTCTCATGTAACACACTCAATAAATTATCCTTCCATTTTAAACAAACAAATTCCATGAGTTATTATATATTTGCCACGCACTTTTTATGACATAATAAAAATGTTACCTCAAGGATTACTTAACACATACTACAAATGTTACAGCAGGCAACTGCAAGGGGCAAAGAAAACAAATAGTCCCATTACGGAGACAAGTCCTGGACTATACATCCCTAGGGAAGCAGCTTTCCATACTAAAAACAAAGAGCAGCAGCTTTAGGTTAGCAAGAAAGAGATTGATGAAGGAGATAACGAAGTTAAACAAACATGGCAATAAATACATCTTAACAGACAAACAGTTTAAAATATAAAATATGACTTTGGGGATGGAACGGTGTCTTAGGCAATTAAATTACATTTAAAGGAATACTGCAGTTTCTGAAGAATACAACCAGCATTGGTTAAGTACAAACACTGTAAGGAAAAATCCTTAAAAAAACAAAAAAACCGAGTAAATCCAAATCAGCGTTTGTTAGAAACGCTTCCCCTTTTTAAGCCTGCACATATTCCCACCACTGGCACATTTCATGATCTGGTTGGTCATGATTCTGCTGACTCTTCCACAGTTTGTTATTAAGAAAAAAAACTGCAAGACAATTCCAAGTAAGTAATTGCTGATAAAAAGAAAAAAAATCAGGACCATCTGGAGCTCTTCTAGGGACTTAGCCCCTTTGCTTTCTTTGGAACAACCCATTGCAGAGCTATCACCAGAATAAACTGATATACCATCGCCTAAACTGACAACTATCTTTGTTCAAAACAAGGAATACATACTTGGTACATCTCTCACATTTATAAGACCTTTAAAAAAAGGAAGTGCACAGCTAGCTTCTCTTCCTACTGCATGTCACAACTTTTCTTTGAAAGACTCCATGATCTCACATTCTGCCTGCAAGATGACTACGGCATACGACTGCAGCATTTTCACTGTTAGACTGCAGTAAGAAACCTCATCTTCAGCATCAACAAGTTCAATACATGTCCTTCATCAGCCGACTGGTGAGGCTTACTGCTATATCTGACAATTTACAATACCAAGTCTCAGTTAAGGTTTTGTATTCTAACAAAATTTCTAGGCAAGTAAGAGCACACTGCTTTATTGTATGTGCTGGACATGGATGAAAATACCCTATGTACCGGCACAGGTTTTTAAAGTGAAAGCTGCCATAGGATTAGTCCATATTAATGTCTTTGGTTGGCTTGAGAACATCCTTTCGTACTGAATCTCCTCCTCATCCCCACTTACCATGCTTTGGTTTATACTGCAGGGAAGTCTCAGTGTGCACAGACTGGAAAACACGCTCTACCTGCGAAGAGGGCTTCAGCCCACAGGATGAGCCTAGAGCCAGCGCAAGGCAAAGACCATCCCCGTGGAGCAGGGACGCTGGATCATCAACTGTTCCACTCAAATGTGTTCCTGTCAGACCACACTAAATGCTAGCGTAGACGTAGCTGTGATGTCCGTGGGCTATGCCCTTTGAATGCACTTTAACAGAAGTTTCTTTCTGTTACAGCTTTTTCCAGCATGTGTTGCCCCCTTAAGCTACTTTAACACATCAACCCATCCATAGACTATGAAGCCAGAAGGGACACTTCTAACCACACCTTGTACAAGCGCTAGTCATTGAATTTCATGCAGCAATTTTAGGCCGAAAGTTATGGTTGAACTAGATTTTTTTATGAAGATATTTCAGCCAGAAGAAATTATTAGATCATAGAACCTGACCCTCTGCATATCACAGACCATTACATTTCACTGAGTTCCCTCTCTACTAAGCTCCCTAAGTTGTGTTTGGCTAAAGCATATCTCCCTCATAGTTGAACATGTGTCTCTCATTTCATATTTGAATTTTCTGGCCCAAGTTTCCACTCCCTTGTTCTCATTATACCATTTTTGCTAGAATAAAAAGCCTCTTCTGTACAACGTATTTGCTCCCATACCTCTACACAGCAGATGTGTCAGCATAGTTATCTCTTCAAACTCAGATTAGGCTCTTTAAGGTCGTGTTTACACTAGGCGCACCGATACCCTACATCATCAGCACGCTCCTGGAGCAGCCAAAGTTGTAATAGTGAAGTCATGTTTTATGCTGATACAGTAAAAATTAATCCATCTCCTGTGCAAAACAAGTTACACGGACACGAGTACATTTCTGCTGTTACAACCAAGCCTATTCTGGGGGCCTCTGTAGTCACAGTGTCATAAACATCCATCAGTTCCTACTGACACTTTCGATTACTGGAGCATTTGATATCCGCAGAAGTTCCTGAAGGAGATACAGGACAAATCTTTCATGATTAAAAAAAAAGTCACCCCTCAAACATTTAGGCTTTTTATGCACCTTCTCTCAGGTTGCGTTTGGAAAGAATGACTTCTAATATACAGTTTACATTAGTTATAAATAATATATAACCACATATAGCTATATATGGGCTTTTTAAGTGTTTGCTGCCCTTTTAATAAACACATACGACATTAAATGGGAAAACCTGCATATAGCCCTTTTATTTCCCCCAATAACATAACTGTTGCTTGTAGGACAGTAATTCTGAAAATGACTGAGACTGTAGCTAGGATCAAAAAGATTAAGTTAATAAAACAGATTAAAAATATCTCTGCAGCAAGGGGCCAAAAAGGCCAGTTCCTTCAGGCAATCTCACATAGTTGTGAAATGACAAAGATATTGCAGAAATTATTTTTTCAGTCTTCATTTTTGGGGTCTTTTATTAACCACTCTGTTACTTGGTCTGCAAACAAGCTTACTGGCTTGTACTTAGCTACAGCTGTGACTCCCCATATCCTTTAAAATACTGACTTTTCTGATAAATTCTCTTAATTTTCTAATTTAAGTTATTTTGTAATGCACCTCAGCAGATAATTAACTTCAGAGAACAGTCTTTAAAGCCTTCTTCAACATTTGGTGACAACCTACTTCAATGTTGTATTAACCTAGACAAAAGCTAAATGTTAGATTGTATCAGAACCAGTTCCTGCCAAAATCTTCGATCCATAAAACCAGCATGTTGATGGAAAAAGACTTTTGCATGCTCTGCTACCTTCCTAACAACTGCATAATCATCAGCAACACTCCTTACAGCATGTTTATTTCCAGCAGACATAGAAAAGCAAGTTACACAACATTATCTGCATATTTCAGCAAACGCAGATGGTCACCCCCAGCTGCCTAGCACCACAAATATGAGCTATGTTTCTATCTT